AAGACCCCGACTCAATCGTCTGCCACTGTTGCTCGCAGCCATCCATGACAAAATACCCAGCCACTTGAGTACGTCCCCCATCGTAACTAGTCATCGACAGATAGCAGCCCTGGCTACTGACAGATCGAACACGCGTTCGCATTACGTACTTCTGATATTTCAAACCATCTCCGCCGTACCCAGCAAAGTAGAATACCGGTCCGCCAGAATTTGCCGTCAATGGCGGTTGATTATTGAACCATACACTCCGCGAGGTTTCCGCACCGTTGTACCCCGGTGACGCGAACCCGAAGACAGGCTTGGCCCCGTAGACGATGTTCCCTTCTGCGGGCTTCTTGAGCCAGCTAGGAAACGTGACTGCGCCTGAGCGAACGTCTGCGAATGTGAGAACTTCTCCGTTCACTATTGATGCAACATTGGTGGTGGGCGTGATCATCTTGATTTCGAGTCTGTCAAAAATCACCCACGCCACTGCACTTCTCGGACTTGTCGCGCTGATCGTGACGGTCATAGCATCGAGAGCTGGTGTGAACACAGCAGTAACTGTTTGCCAGCTTTGGAGCTGCTGAGAGTCGGCTGACTGGGTCACGACTGACTGAACGGTGGTCGAGGGGGCGGCAAGTTGCACTGCGGCAGTTGGGGGTTGACTCGTCGTCCCGCCGAGTTGGCATCGGAGTGACACCTGATACGTTGCGCCTCTTACGACGTTGAAGGTCTGAACGAACTTTGTGCTACGGACGGCGTTGACGGAGGCAAAGGACATGTTGTAGGCCAAAGCATTTGCGTCGCCTTGGACATATGAATAAGTAGTTTGGGACGAGGTGGTCACCGCCCATGTCTGAAGGTCGGAGGCGCTGCCGAAGGTCTTTGAAAATGTAGCAGTTAGGTCGTTTCGGTATCCTGGGTTGCAGGTGCTTGCTGCCGCTGCGGCCGAGCTTGTAGTAGAACTGGAAACGATGCCATTGCTGCTGGTTGAGCTACTACTGATGCTTGAGCTAGAAGATGAGATTGATACTGAAGAAGTGAAGGATGTGGTAAAGGTCGATGTTGGGGACGTGGATATGCTCGAGGTGCTCGACGCAGTGGAACTAGGGATTGAAGGTGTTCCGGAGCTGTCAAAGATGGAGGAAGTCGAGGTTGATAAGCTCCCTGTCGTTTCCGATGAAGAGAAGGCAGTCGGTGAAGTCGTAGTCGCGAAAGACTCCAGGCCTGTTGAGGTAGTAGGAACTGCAAGACTGGAGAAGCTCGAAGAAGTATTCTGAGTAGACGAGGTTGATCCAGATGTGGCAACGCTCGCTGTGTCAAGTGAGCTGGTTGATGTCATTGAGAACGACGATGACGAAATAATAGGCGGATTGATGCTGTAGAGACTAAGACGATCGCCCCCTCCGCACCATTGCGAAGAGTCTCCCACGCAGACGTGCCCGCAGTCTTTCTCTGAAGCCATGAAACCGCCGACAGTGTTGCCGCAGTAGCACTCTCGGGAGTACTCCAGACCAAAGTAGCTGTACCCCTGACAGAAACTAGCACACTTCTCAGCAGTCATATCGTCGGCCCTGTAGTCTTTTGCAGAGAGCGAGCGACGCCCATCCACGTTATCGACCCAGCAAGAGGAGTAATAGAAGCCGCCGACAGTTGCTAAGTTCTTGACGACTGGAATCGTTGATGTTTGCGGTAGAGCATAAACTGATATGCGGTTGGCGTCGCCACAGATCTCTGTGCCGTCACCGCCGCACTTCATTGCACACGCAACCTCTGACTGTTTCGCACTGGCCGTATCTAAAGCCATCCCGCAATAGCACTCTCCCGTGAACTCAACGCCGAAGTAGGTGTAGTGGGAGGTGCTGCAAAATGAGGCGCACTTCTCGAGGGACATAGTGGGATCGCGGACAAGGTCTCCAGTGAGAACGCGCTGAGGCAGGTTATCGGTGTAGCAACCCTGGTAGACGTACCCAGAGACGGTAGCTGCTGCCGCTGGTGAGACGGGAGAGGGCGTTGAGCCTTGTGAGGGAGTCGTGCCGGGGAGCGATGATACCACCGGCGGTCCGTAAACACTGAGTCTCATGCCGGCGCCGCATAATTCGGCATCGGACCCGGAGCAAGTGAATGAACATTCAGACTCTGGAGCAGCAGATTGCGGCGCCACGTTACCGCAGTAGCACTCTCGCGACCACTGCGTACCGAAGTAGGTGTAACCCTGGCAGTGTTGAGCACAGAATGCCGCTGTCATGGTGTCGGAAGCGAAAGGCTTGTCGGGAAGCACCCGGTCGCCGTTGTCGATGAAGCAACCCAAGTAGACATGGTCAACGAGCGTGGCGGGCTTCGGACTAGAGAACCCCAAATTGCTATAAATATTCATACGGTTCCCAGCGCCGCAGACTTCCAAGGGGTTGCCAGAGCAGGCGAAGCTGCATTCATTTCGGTCGACTGCAAGCGCTTGGCTCTGGATTGTATTGCCGCAATAGCATTCTCTGCCGTACTCGACGCCAAAGTGGTTGTACTTTGTACAGAAGGAGCTGCATTTCTGAACTGTCATGGTGTCGTCGGCGGTTGCTGGCCCTCCCAGTGTTCGTTGACCAGCGACTGCATCGGTATAACATGCTAAGTATGTGTACGAGCCATCGCGGGCCTCGATTGGAGAGTTGCTGGGAAGAGCTTTCACAAGGGGCAATAGAAAGAACAAGAGGTGGGCTGCCGTGTATAGATTCAAATGAGTGTGAGCCATGTTTGTGACACATGGAAGCGAAGAGAGGCGCGAGCATGACGGTGGATTTTTCTCTGAGCAAGGCGGGAGATCTTGTAAGATTTGTATCTCGGTTTGAGGTAAGCCACTTCGAGATTGATTAAATTACAGGGCACGACGTAATGAATAGTCACAAATCAAGGTCTAGTGTAGACCCGAAGACTTGTTACCCCTGCACTAGTACTTCCTCAAAAGTAAGTAGAGCCATGCGGTCGGAATCTGAATTCACTAGGTCTTCAATTATAGTTGCTGGTGACTTGCCACCATACCAACATGGCTTAGTGTTGGCGACATTCACCCTTCTCTAGGTTGGGGTCGCTCGGGCCTAGTTCACGTTGAGCACGAGCTCCAACCGCCACACAATTTCCACAAGCGAAAGCTCAAGATGCACTTTCCCTATTCAAAGCTCGTTTGACTATGGATAACTTCGGATTTCGCTATTCAACCCGATGAGCCAACGGATCCCTGCATAGTAGTCACTATAGGGAGTCTGCAGCAGTATCCACATCCGATATGGTGTAGTGGCCAACATGATGCCCTCTCATCTCTGTGAGAGGTTAGGCATAGCCCCGAGTTCGATTCTCGGTTTCGGAATCTTTCGCTCATGTGACCAGTGAACTCATCTTTGACGTTCGGCAACAGCCGTCTGACTATTGAAGATGGTCCAATCCACTTTACTGGCGCATCGAGGGCCATCATTATACATCGATAGTCATGGCCAACCTGTCTTGGCTGATTATCACAACACCCATTCCCTCTGCGATTCCGGTATCTGTATCTCGTCTTAATTAGGTTTCGCTCTGCACCATGACTCCTCCCAGTCACGAATGGCCAGCTTCATGTCCTCTGTTCTGCGCTGTGTCGTAGATATGGGGGTTGTCGTGCGCCTCATCATCAGAACCTCACCGACAGTGGGTTGGTCGTTTAAAAATCGTTCTAGCCTGACCGAGGGGACATCGGAGTCCTTTCTATCCAATCGTTATAATGGGACAGCAGAGCATGTCGTATTGACACAAAACTTACTGGATGCCATCGGCCATGGTTGCCAACGAACTGGATCTAATTGACATTGCAACTTCAGGTGGTACTCTAGACAGAATAGACTAGGTATAATTCAATTCAAGATCTCGTTATATTGCCAAGTAGTAATTTAGTCAAACTTTCTCTCTCTTTTGACAACTTAATTCTACTTGATTCATCCACCTCCTGCCTCTTATATGCCTGGATATTGCCAATTGTACTCAGTGCTCTTCCAAGACCAATACTATAGCACGAAGTTGCGATATGGAGTCGTAGGCGTTAAACGCAAATCTTTCCGAAAGCTTCCAGCCACCGCAGTCCAGCAGAGCACAAGTGCCATGGTCGATGTAAAGAGCACTGTTGTGCTTTGGGTTGGTTGTGATTGGTAGAATTTTCTGCCTAAGCTATTAGTCTGGCTCATTCCCACGAATGGCGTAGCCGACATGTGACACCTGTTGGTGACGACGGCTACAAGCGCGTTAGGATCGGTCTGTAGAAGCTGGGATTCCTTTTCTCCCTCTGATTCTTGCCATGAATCTGGTCCAACCGCAAGCAGAGATATCCAACATCATCACAACAATTGATTAGCAGCTACTTCGTTCCTGTCTTGACCAGAGCGGCGACTTGACTACACTCAACTACAGTTTTCCCACTCGTATTTCATCGAATCGCTTCATTATTGTTGCAGAAACGATGTCATCGTCGCACCCCGCCTATCAGGCTGATGAGGGAAAGCACCAACCGGCTCTTGTGCCCGTACTCGGGGGTCTGACGACAAGACAATCTGCTAGTCGATTGTTGAAGCGGGAGGCTCGTGAGAAGCGGGCCTGCATAACGTGCCGGTAAGACTAGATGGCTTGGCAGCTCCCACAAAGCCTACTAAGTAGTATTCTCTGCCGATACTGATGCTCGAAACTCAAGGCGGCGGCGTCTCAAGTGCGACGAGACTCGGCCTTCGTGTGGTCCATGCACTCGGGGAGCTCGCTTGTGTGAGGGATACGAGCTCAGCGCTCCCACGGCAGAGTCACAAGCGTTAGATGGGCAAGAGGCCCGTCAATTCCCGAAAGATGCAGTATAAAACCCAGTCTACTTCCTACTACTTGTCTACTGCGTGCTTCCTACTTTGGAGCCACACGAAACTGACACCATTAAACAGGATATCTCAACGCTTCAAAATGCCGGGAGCCCTGATGAAGAGCTGAATCCTGAAGACCCTATCGTGATAAACTTAGCGAATATGGCGCCACGTAATCCTGACCTTCGAAAGATGGTGCAACAAGTCGCACATAGAGAAGTAAAGTACCGATATATCCAACGGATGATTGATAAAGTACCAGAGGACTCAGAATTTCGTGAGCGAGTTGGTCAGCAAGGTGATTCGGCCATCAACGATGTGCAGTCGCCAGACTCGAGCATACCACTTTCAGACACTGGAGCAAATTCCGACGCTGGATCTCTTGCCTCAAGGCTCTCATGGATTAATGGGCCCTACACCCCCATTCATTCATGGTTTCCAGCTAAGAACATGAGGACCACAGACAGTGGTAACACGTTGAAGGTTGGGGAACTGGAAGAAAGTTACTCGCAGCTCCTGCCGCCTCCGGCGAAGCAGGAAGCCCCACTTACCGATTCAGGATATGCATCTAGGATCAACGTTGAAAATTTGCCGCGAATGGAACTGACAGGTGCTGATACATCCGGCAATGAAAAAGATGATTCAAACGCAAGAACCGCCTATTCGGGAGATAGTACTGTTGCAATAGACCAAGCGCAGCAGTACATTTTCGAGTTGTCCAACACTATACACAGCAATCTCGGCGGAAACGTTGACGCAGACAACTGGAGGCTACTGTCCGAGCGAGTGTTGGGTCTCATCAAGGACTTCGCCTTCAAAATTGGCCTTGAATCTTCGGCTCAGGTGAACCGAGATATCATGCACTTCATACACAAACGTAGCCGGTACGTGCTCTGTTAGGTCAACGCGTTTCGACGTATTTGAATGAAGACTGAAATAAGACAGTGACATCGCGACGCGACTTGACTCAATGATCCTCAGTGTCGACGCTTCAGCAGAGGATGCTGACGAGATTGTCGAGGCCAGGAGAGACCACATGCTCCTAAGTGATAAGATGGCCTTGTGGATCAGCAAGGCCACGGGGACAGAGACCTCTGTCGATGATGATGAGCTTTTCGTGGGGGTTACAGATGTGGAAGCGACCATCGACGCTCCGGCATTATTCGAGTACAACAAGACCGTTACAGAGAGCGATTCATTCAAGTGGCTAATCGAAAGCCTGCGAAGAGAATTGTTACTCAAGCGATATTTCGATGAATCAGAAGGTTGTAATCGTCGTGAAATGATACGGCGCAAGGTCATAGAGAGCCTCCCAACTGGAAAGATTAGCAAAAACCGGCCACCAACCACCCACTCTGTAACATTTCGAGTGACGGGATGGGCACTCTTTCGCAGTTTTGAATGGTTCACATTCGGCCGGGAATGGTCCGTAACCAGTGCCGTGGTTGTAACATATTGCTCAGGGGATGCCCAGGCATCAACGATTGTGGATTACATGAGGCAGACGTGGCCTTCGACATGGCTAACGATCTTCAACTTGTTGCAGACAGCGTCTCGCAATCCCGACGGCATCGTTTACGCAGGTAAGCTTTTATCCTTGGCTGGAAATCAATGTATATTCACCGCAGTACAGATACCTTGCATGACAAGACTCGAATATCAGTATCGTCTGAGCACGATATCCTCACGATGAGTCTTGATGGTCCTGCTCACACCATTGCAGAGTGTGTTGAGCAGCTTGCCTGGTTACGGGCCTTATGGGCAAACCAACCTCCTCAACATGGTATGAACAATACCGTCCAGCGAATACCCTTCATCATGAAAATGGCTACACTACATGTAGGCGCATAACTTTAGAATTAGTGTTGGTTTCGTTTATTCTAACCTCATCAGGGGCGTTTATGGTTCGATATCGGAGTCCAAAACTCTATTCCTGACGAGTTTGAACTGTTGGAGCAGTCTAGATGGACAGGCTTACTAGGAAACGATAACGTTGTTATGGTTCCAGGGTACCCTATCTTGCGCCGACCGAATTCTTTCAACGGTATCGAGGTCTCTCCTCGCCATCTCATGGAGTCACTGGGACCAGTGTCTAAATCTTCTTTCAAAGCCGGGTTGGTGTTGGATGGCTTACAGAGAAGGCTTTTACTTGTGAAGCATGTCCAAGATGTGTATCTTTGGCATGAGACCCAAAGTGCCAAGAGACCTTTTTGCCATTGCTCGACCCCAGGTAATCAGGACAAAGGTGCATGCAGCGGAAGAACTATCGACTTAGAGGAGATCCTGAGAGGCCGTCATATCATTGGACAATGCCAAAGGCTCTGTCTGGACGAAGGTAAGCATTATCACAGAATGTCTTCGATCCAACATATTAGTCTCGACATTGGAGTTTTGACATTTCTCAGATGACTCCCTACCAACTTTAGGGAAGGGATCTAGTTTCATCGGCAACGACAGCTCATGTCACAGCGTCTCTAGCTCACTGATGATTGGGGGACATGGAGCCGAGGCCCCTAAGAGCACAGCATCGTCGGGGAAGCTCACAGCAGAAACTAGGGACATGAATAATGTCTCCAGCCTTTCATGGGACGATGACGCCAATTGTTGGGCTTTGTGCCAACATCCAAACGGGAATCGTCCGAGTGAATCAAACGAATCCTCGTTAGAATCTGACTTGCTATCAATGTCAGATTCTTCGGAAGAACTTGAGCCCCTAGCAGATGATGATCCGATACGTACAGTCGTGGAAACCGTGGTTTCCCACCTCGTTGCAGGTTTTCGATATGTAGCTGGCGGAGAAGTCCCACCTTGTGGCAATGGACAAGATCACGGAACAGTTTCGTCGTCGTCTACTAGTGGCATTGCTGCGTCTTCAAGACCTGCAGGAAAAGGCCGAAAGAGAGAACAAGTCCAAGATGATAACTCGGACTCGGAAGGGGACGCGACCGATCCAAGACCTTCAAAGAGGTCTAAGAAAACGCCACAGCATATCAAACTTCTGGCCTGTCCATTTGGGAAGATGAGCCCTAGCAAATATTCCGCCTGTTCACGATTCCAGCTCAAACGAATCCGGGACGTCAAGCAGCACCTGAAGAGAAAGCACGCCCCCGATGATTATTGCAACCGCTGCCTGAGAATCTTCGATGACGAGGAAAGCCTCACGCAGCACGTGTCGCAACCAGACGGGTTCGGTTGCCAACTCGCACCTGAGGGGAGAGCGCTAGAAGGAATTACCCATACACAAAGCCGCGACCTCTCTCGAAAAGCCAACGCGGAGTTGTCGGAAGAACAGCAATGGTTCGCAATCTGGGATATCGTTTTCCCCCAGAAGCCACGCCCTGAATCCGCTTACCTAGATTCCGCTTTTGCCATGCAAGTTTGCCTATTTCGGGAGCATTGTGCGCGGCACGCGGAGCCGCTCCTTGTCCAGAATCTTCGTGCTGCTGGACTGTTAGATGAAGGCAGGCTGGTTGCCGACCAGGAGCAGCTCTTAAGGAGAGTTATTTCAGAGTCTTTGGATTCCGTCTGCGATACTTTCAGCACGAATGGCTCTTCGGACTCAGGGATAGGTCGAAACCGCAATTCAACCCGCAATGAGACACCTGCTGCGTCATTGGTGGACAGCGATATTGGGATAGGAAGTCACTTCCAACCAAGGACCGCTTCATTCGCAACTGCATCCGTTTCACATCAAAACATCCGCCCAGTACCTACGGATGTTCCAGCGGATTTTCAAACACTAGGGTCAGAAGGGCGGGCAGTGTTTGGCTCGCAATCTTTTGCCAGTTTACATCAACCGGGAGCCTTGGGCCAGTCCTTTACAGCGGATTTCCCTCTTGATCGCGATTTACCAAGCGTGGAACATAGGCCTGATGAATTTGGAATGTTTGACTACAACTTATCAACGGTTTTGCCTCCCCTCGAGCTTTCCTCGTGGCCCTTCCTACAGACAGAACTTATCCCGCACGAAGAGGGTGCTGAAAACGCTGTATAATTACGATCTCCGTAGCTTGATAATACACAATATACAATAATTCCACTTCACTCAACTTCTGGTCCATAAAGAGCGAGGATATTGAATTGGCTTAACGTTCATTCCATATTCCCCTGTAAATATATTTACTCGCTTGTGATAACTGTCTAGCACCCCAACCAAATGTGAAAGTTGAGATGGCAAAGACCAAGACTCGGATGTCACGACGCTTGCAATTTCCACTTGGCGGAGGTAGGTAGGATCGTCAGCTAAGGTGGGAGTAGATTTGCTGCGTGCTCATGTCTGGCAAAGTGCCCACTCTCCATATGTGTGCCTGAGGGTTCTCGTAAGGTAGTGGGCGCTCGTGTCTGCATGGCCACGTCATGGAGTTTTCAGCTCGCCTGGGGACCTACATGTAAGCTGAAAGACCCTAGACAGATACATCATCGACGCTCTGCCCTCGATCGCTACCATATCTTCTCTCACTTCTATATCTGTTCTCCATGTAGACCAAACTAGGTTCGAGAAAGATTCTTTGGAACGTCTCAAAATGCGTGTCGTTTCGAGTTCATGGCTCTTTGCCGTGACCGCCTCAGCCTCCCTATCCGACATCGCCTCCCTGCGCTGCAGCTCCAGCGCCATCCTTCCCACGCCCACGTACGACCTCAAAGGCGCGCTCTTCACAGTCTGCACCGAAGAAGTAATTAACGCACCCATTGACAAAATCTACAATGCGCTTCTCGACTTCCGCCGCTACAGCACCTGGAACACCTTTGTAATCGACGTCGGCCTCCCGCCCGATGTGCAGGGACCGGACGACGTGTACGCCGGCCTATCGATGAACTTTACCACAGCTGGTATTATTCCCGGCGTCAATACCTCCTCGACCGAGGTCATCAGTTTGCTTGCACCGGATGTGCGCGGCAGTGACGACGGCGCTACACGAGCCGTCAACGTGTGGCGGAACGACGATGGACTTGGGGGCACGTTTCTGCCGGCGGAGCATCCGAACCTGTTGACGGATTTGGGAAACGGGTCCGTGAGGATGGTGTCATATGAGACATATTACCTACCCGGGGCGACGACGCTGTTGCCGCTGAAGGGTACTCTACAAGAAAGGTTTGAGACGCAGGGGAAAGACTTGAAGAGGTTCTTGGAGGGGAGCCTTCGTTAGAGTCATCAAATCATCAGTCTGTATTGGTCATTATCTTCGTCGACTATCCCTCAAAGGGCTTCTCTTGGGAACCTCTGGCGTCTCAACTGCTTCTTCCCGGGGTATCTCTTCCATAAATCTCCCTATGCGTGTTCTCCCGCCGACTCCATCACCCCCAGCCGTCCCTGAGCTGCTCCTGTCCACGGCCCAAGTATCGCCACTGAATCCAGACGTCGGGCTCGAACGGTCAACACTTCCCGTCTCCTTGTCTCCTCCGTCTGTCTCATTCTGCGTAACATACTCCGATCTCAGGCTCAACCTCATAGTCTTGAGAATCACCCCACCCTTCTCCTCAAACTCGTCCTCCTCCCGCCACGACTCATCCCCACTACACGTCATATCCTGCGAATAAATCGACGAAGCCTGGGTCTTATACCCCGCCGCCCCCGCCCCCCTCCTCTCCGCTGTCTCAAACAGAATCGGCTTCCCGTCCTCCGCAACATGCCAACTCCGTCCCGGCCTCCGCGGCGCCGTACCCGTAATCAAAAGATTTCCCAGACTCAATTTCGCGGGGCCCAGCTGCGCCATGGTAAGCGTCGGCAACGGCGGCGCCGGCATGCGCAGCTTGTTCAAGTGGCTCGCGATACTCGCGTTCCGGCTCCGGGCTGCTAACCCGGCGGGCGTGCTGGGTTCCGTCCAGGGGTAGCCATGGTACGTCAGGCTGGTTAGATCAAAGCTCTGTGTCTCGGCGCCGCCGGCCTCGAGCGAGCGCCGCTTTGCGCTGCTCATCATCACGGAAGGGAAGAGGCGCGCCAGTAGAGGGCGGAGAGTGGGTGCGCTGGCGCAGATGACGGCGAGGTCACATTCCAACACCGTCATGACGAAGAAGCCGAGAGTGTTGCGGACGCCGGCGTCGTCGGTGGGCCGGTAGTGCAGGTGCAGACTGAGCTGTAGACGGACCATACTTGCTACAATCACCAAAACGCTGAGACTCATGACGACTGCGAGGGCAATCTTTTGGCGACGGGGGAGGTCGAGACGCGCGACGGAGGGGACGACCATGACGACGAGCCAGGCGTCTGTGGCGGAGTGCAGACTCGCGCTGGCGATGAGAAGGTCTGGGAAGCGGAAGCATACTGGTACCGGGCGGCTGAAGAATTGGCCTTGGACGGGGTTGCATTGAAGAAAGGACATGAGAAGCAAGGGGAGGGTGTAGAGGAGGACAAAGGCGACGGCGGCGCGGGCGAGGAGGCGTTCGCGGGGCCGGGAGGAGGATGCGAAGACGCGGAGATACAAGGCTAGGATGGAGAGTTTTGTGAGGCAGAGGGCGAGTTGGTAGTAGATTAGGCCTAGGTAGGTCCGCATGATGTATGGGTTTGCGTCGGTGTCGGCTGTGGCAGTTGAAGATAGCGAAGGGGCGCCGAGGAGGGAGGGCGTGGTGGCGGTGATGCTGTAGACTACGCAGAGGGCCGTGGAGAAGAGCCATGCGATAAGGATGAGGGTGTCGTCGAGGAACCATTTGCGAGTTACCCAGAGACGGGAGGCTATTCGGGAGGCGATGAAGATGGTGCAAAGGGCGTGGGGGAGGAGGAGGCCCGTCATGAAGAGGGGGACGTTTGCATCTTGCTGTGATGCGGTGTGAGATAACTGTCATTCGAGAAGATGAATGGGATTGTGACTTACGATTTCCTTGAGAATCGTCGGTGATAATGTTGAAGATGACGACGGTGTATGAGGGTGTGTGAGGTTGGCATTGATGCTGGAGTTCGACATCGTGAACAAGACAACTGCGACAGTCGCCGACGAGTCGGATATTGGTGATTCTGAAGCCTACGATCTTCCACGCCTGGTGTTTACGAAGGAATTACATGCTTCCAGTACATGAGAGTGAAGTCTAGACTTAGAACGACAACATGAGGAAGGGAAGAAGACCAAGGCCGGTATCTTGTCTCATAGCAACTGAGAGCAGGGCTGACGTCTTTCATAGCAGACATGAGAGAGGCCTCAACTACTAGGATAGGAAGCTCCATGCTCGTCATGCGGGACCACGTCCAAACCCCATCCCGGGGTTGACTTCACGCGGCGAACATCCTAGCCCGGCAAAGGACCCTGGAGTAGCACCTCCCGAGTCCCGGCCCACCCATTGTTCCCGGGTGTGGGGGAGTTTCCTCATCGAAGGGAAGAACAATCAACTCAATTCGTCAGCGCGGGCGCATTGGCTCCTGGTGTGTGGATGTGTCTATCTGTCTGCCTTTGAGTGTGCGCATGTGTGTGTGGGTTTTGTGGGCTTGTCCATGTCTGCCCGAAAAGGCAAAAGGGAAGGTGAGTGAGCGAGTGAGTGAGTGTTAAGTGTGCCAGATGCAAGTCCCAGGCTAAACGGCTGGGATCGCGATTGGATGGACATCTGTTTCTTTTGGTGTTCTCGGCGGAAGAGGCCGATGGAGGGGGATGGGGATGGATATTCACATTCCAGCTACTCAGCTTTCTTGAACGGTTCGTGAGTGATGTGTCCTGTCACCTTTTCAGCTTCACCTCCGCTGTCATCTCATCTTGGTGAAACGGGGATAAACATTTTGATGGCTGAGAGTGAAACAACTCCGGCTGTCATCTCACGATAACCTCGAAAGATATACGAGACACAGATAGGGAAAAGAAGAGACGTCTCCAACTCGAGTGAGTTCCCGCACCAGTCGCTGTCGAATTCGTCGATGCGGGGTCAGAGATGCCACACAAACTTCTGCATTCTCTTATCCGCAGGCATCTGGATATGCACCTCCATTCTCGCTCGACCCCTCCACACCGCAAATCCCGCGACCACATGTGCCACCCCGCAGGCGATGGTGGCATGGCAGCACGGAGTGCCGTCCGGGACTTTCCCGATCCGGAAGGACCTGGCTTGATTGCCGCGCCGATTGGTGGGACCGGTTTGTTTCTCAATGTTCTAGTCTGATGGTATGCTTCGTCTCAAGGTTCGTTGCGATGGTTCAACGCGCAATCGCCCACTGTTTCTGTCTGTTGTCGTAGAGCGTAGCATCTGTGGATGAGCTGATACTTGCGCGGTGGACAAAGAAAGACCAGACGATTCATGGCGATGGCGATGTTGACGGGCAACGACGATTGCATTTTCTGCCCACCACTGTCAGGTCATGCATCTCTCGCCCATCCACACTCTTCTCTAGGTAGTCCCGACACGGCTACTTTCTGCATCCTCGGAGCTTCTTCTTTGCGTCCTCTGCCCTTCAAGTTCACTCGGCTAACGACATCTCATCGGAGAGATGTGTCAAGTGGGACCGAGAGAATCGACCGCCCTATTTGATGGCAATTTCTGATGGGGTGATGAGGCAGCATAGAGGACACCTAGGCTTCCGGCCCGTCACCCCCGCCATAGCGATCTATTGTGTGTCTGCGTCGATTGCTCCTGCTACAGCGCACAAAAGGTTTACGGGCGCCAGAAGCTTGATGGCGGAGACTGTGCTTCCCGACGTCTAGATCCGGTCCCTAAAAGAGGCCTTGTCAGGATCTTCCCGAGGAGCTGAAAGGGCCGATCTAGAAGCTTGTATTCGCGGGTGGAAGATCTGTGTCGGGTGGTTTGTTGGATGTGTTGTGGCCGAGTTCTTCTCTTCATGGGTGAGATGGGATCAGATGTCACCGTACTGCCGGTGCCAGCTGCAACCATTTGCCGGGGAGTCTGTGCGACGTGCTACTGCACTCGAGACTGCCGTGATCATCCCACGCGGCATCGAAGCTGGAATCTCACAAAGAAGGTGAGACTCCGCATGCCCTACCACTATGATCGTCATAAAAACGTACTACTGCTTTTAAAATACTTCTCTCTAAGTCTCTTTCTCACATTTGACGGACTTGGATGGTGCATGTTTAGGGCTAACATCGCACTCTGAGTATCATACCCATGCAAACCTCAATTTGGTGGTAACTTTAGTTCACGGTATCTTGATGGCAATGCATTCTGAAAATCATAGGCCTCAGAATTTGAGAGCTCATGAATCATGTTAATTTGACTGATATCTGAAGATGAAACTTTCATTCCTTCTGGGAAATCAGAGTATTATGATGATGACGATGATGATAATGAATGTTCAGCGCCGGTCCGACCCTCACCAGTCACAAGACGCCTACGTCGACTGCCGAAGAGTATCACGGTCAATTGAAGCATCGCAATGTCGAGTGATCCCTCGTGGAGAAGCAACTCAAGATCAAGGAACTCTCTCATCACCACCTCTTCACCCCTCAATCTCCTTCACCTTCTCCACAACCCTCAAATACCCAGGCTCCTTCTTCAACCGCTCAACATACTCAAACAGCACAGGATGCGCCGCCTTCACTGACCCACCAGGCCAACTACCCATCGAGTCCCACGCATTCTCCGCGTCCGCCGTGATGAGCGCAAAGCTGATGAGAATATCCGCGGCTGTGAGCTCCGGTCCGCAAAGAAACCCACCGCCGCCGGCTGATACCCCGGGCGCAGTCTTGATAAAGTTCTCGAGCATGGCGAGGTGCTTTTGCGCATTGGGGAAGATGACGAGGGAAAAGATTTTGGAGGCGACGAGGGAGGTCAGGGGGCGGATTAGGAAGGGGACGTTGGATGATTTGAGTACTACAGGTCAATCTAGGTCAGGATCTCGTATGATAGAGGTTGACAGGAAGTGAATATGTATCCAAGGGGAGGGAGAGGTGCTTACCATTGATGAGAAGAAACTGCACAATCACAGGAAAGAAACTCCCCTCAACATAATGCAACAAATACCAAAACCGCGCATACGCCTCCGTCTCGCCGCCGACTTTTCCCTCCCGCCCGGCCTTCCACCGCGGCGGCACGAGGCCGGGCTTCCGGTGGCCAAAATGCTCGACGAGGTACTGCGTGATGTACCCGCTCTCGGCGAGCCGGATCGGTGCAGGGCTGGGGTCCTCGTCGGTTGATTCGGGCGTGATTTCGAGCACGGGGGCCTTGCCGAGCGGGTGAACGGTTTCAAGCTCGGGAGGCGCGAGGCGGTTGGGGGCGCGGCGGAAGAGTTGGACTGTGTAGGGGATCTTGAGCTCTTCAAGGAGCCAGAGGGTATTTTGGGAGCGAGAGTCGTTGAGCCTTATGACTGGTGAGTTTTACTGGGTGGATGAGGGATGGGGAGATTGAGGGTGCGATGAGATGGAAGTACCAGTAGAGCTTGACTTTTGGAAGTTCTTCAGTTGCCATTTTGAGGGGTTGTTCTGATGTTGCGAATGATCGCGCAGTTGAAAACCTGCGGGTGAGCGCGCCGAGGTGAGCGAATCTGATCCGAGCGTGAGTGCCGGTGATGAGCTTTAGGCGGAGGTTCGGGGATGAGATGCTGCGGGTGGATGGTATTGAACGATGAAAGCGCCGTCCGATGATCAAAATTGAGCTCATGATGGATATACTGTATGATGATGGGAAGACTTGGGGTATTTATTTCACTTCTTCCAAGATGCTCGACGATGATGCAGCCTGTCATCATTGGGTGGGCCGAGAGGTTTCTGGCTTCTAGAATGGCATGTTTTCTTACGATTTTCCGCCTAGGTTTGTTTCCGCATTGTCTCCGAGGTGACGAGCGGCACAGTCTCCGTGTGGGGGATGTAAGACGGAGAGATCGGGGCTCTCAAGGCCGATGGTGAGACTGGCGAACGGGGGCTTGAGCACCGTATAAGCCGATTACTAGCAGATAACTCAATAACAATTCGATGGTTGAAACAAGGCTTGCAAGACATGACGACAGGGTCGCTTGAGAATCTTGATTCGATATGTTCGGTGAGTGAGTTTTGGGGGTGTAAGCCGGAATGCATTCCGTGCAGCTATCCAGATGCGGCATGAAGCTGACCATAAGCACCCGGATACTCCCGCAGTTGGTCCCATGAGACGAATTGTCGACTCGAATCGGGCGAGAAATGTGACGCGTGGTGCTGCAGGTATGAAAAAAGGAAAAATGAATGACTCCATGGAGGCTCGAAAGCAACAGCTACAGCAACTCGGCTGGTAGCTCTGAACTTCAGGATTAGGGGTATAACCATCTTAAGCTTCTGAGCAGGAGTCCCTTTTTGCGGCTGTAGCTGTTGAGGATTGACAGTCGTTTTGCTCCCGGGATATGGCCCTCCCTTCCTGTGCCTCCCTGATTTGCCCGATGACAGGTTGTCACGCAGGATGAGCTTCCAAGTATCCCAAGGTATTCGTCTCACTCAGCGAGATACGGTCCGCATAGATCCCTTGGACTCTCTATACGAAGTCGCCAGCCACAACTTCGATAATTATAGAAGCCAAGCCTCACTTGATACCCGTCACAGTATCCAGACCTACAACTTCCTCTTCACAAGCCCCTTCCAGAAATCAAAACTATTCTCATCACTCTGCAGCGCCCACACCCTCCCCGTCTCCCGCCCCATCCCATCCACCTCAACAGCCTTCAACATACCCCAATCCCTCGTAATCCCCACAACCTTCGCTTTCGCGCCCGCCTCAGCCTCGAGCGTGACGTTCTGCCCCGAGTGGAGCCAGTGCTTGTAATACCGCTCCTCGAGGTCGCGCGAGAACCCTTCGCGGCGGAACTGCGCGTAGAGCGCCTCGATGCGGGTGAGGATCCGTGCCAGCAGCGATTCGAGGCGGAAGCCACCCGCCATCTTCAGTGGTGCCGGCGCGATGGCGTTGAGGGAGGTCGTTGGGCGCGAGTTTGTCGTGTTGATGCCGATGCCGAGGACGATTTGGTAGGCGCCTTGGGAGTAGGCGCAGTTGGAGAGGATGCCGCCGATTTTGACGTAGGAGGGGTCTTGGGGAGTTGAGGCTGGGTCGCGGCAGTCTTTGTTGTTGTCAGGATACAATTCTATGCAGCACTTTCATGACGTTTGGTTAAGAGTATACTTACAAATGTCGTTGGGCCACTTGAGTTTCACAGGAACGTCGCCGCAGGCTGTGTCGTACGACTTGACGGCCTCGACGATTGCGATGGCCGCAATGTACTGGATGAAGACGACTGGGTGGGAGGCGGCTAGGTGTGCCGGGTGGTTGATGACGGTCGAAAAGATAAGGCAGCCCGCCGGCGAGACCCAGACGTTTGTGCCGCGGCCGCGGCCGGCGACTTGGGTTGTTGCAGTGAGAGTAAAGCCGGTTGGGAGGTGAGCGAGCAGTTTGGGGTTCCTGGAAGATAGGTATCGTTAGCTAAGAGGGCTTTCTTGTTTCCTCGTGGGTGAATAAAGGGGCAAAGAGAAGGGGGCCATACTTATCCATGAGAGTGTTCGTGCTGGTGACGACCTCGCCATACATGAGCGTATCACCCCACTCCTCCGCCGCAGGCTCGATCGCACGATACTCCTTGAGAGAGCCGTAAAAGAGCCGATGGTTGAAACTCGGCGTCTCCTTGGCGTCCGGCCACTCCTCCTCATGCGGGACAATTACCTTGACCAAGGCATCATAGTCCAGCATCCGACCTTCTCCTCCCTCCCCAGAACCAAGAGACGGCAAAGCTTGCTTGAGCTCGTCGACATCCCATCGCGAAGACAACTTCTCGATGCGGAAGACGTCGTGCTCGCCGCGGATGTACTCCTCTTTTTCATCGGCATCCCGTCCCTGGCCGGTCTCACGGGTAATGGCCTCTTCCCAGGACGCGAGCATCTCGCCTACCTCGACGTGGTTCGCCGAGGTGAGGTGCATGCGCGAGAGGGAGGGCGGCGCGGAGGGGTCGGCGCTGAGATCCAGGCCGAGGCGGGAGAGACATGCGCGGAGGAAGGTTACGCGGGCTGCGTCGGCTGCTGCGAGGGAGGAGACGAGGGCTTCGTAGGAGGGGATTTGGGGTTGCGGGTTGAGGTTTGCCGCTGCGAATCTGTAAATTTGTTAGCATACGGGTTTTGAAAGGAGTACAGGGTGAACGTACTCTGGATGAGGGCCGGTCAGGATGACATTGCCAGAGCCGACTGTGCAGTGAATCACAGCCGCTTTCCCAGCTCCCCCATCAACGGCAATCTCATCAGCATACTGCGCAAGAACCTCCACATTCTCAAACTTTTCAGCATCGACAAAGACGCCTCCGCCATTATAATAACTCAACACTTCATCCCCCTCCCCAAACCCCTCCTTCACATTCAGCCTTACCACCCTCGCGCCCCTCTCAGAATGGTACTCGAACCCCTTCAACGCACCACCCCTACACGTCCCCGGGAAGAACCCGAGCTCGCGCGACCCAATAACCTCGAGCGTCCGATCGCCGACCTCGAACTCGCACCGGCGGCTGCCGTAGTACCCGCCGGCACAGAAGCCGAGGTATGCCCCGCCGCGGCGGACATAGTCGGCGATGCGCCGGTTGCCGGGGCCGTTGAGGACGCGGCAGTAGCCCAGATCGCCGCCGCCCGGGATGACGAGGAGGGCGCAGGTGGGCTGCCAGGGTTCTTTAAGGAGGGCGGCCTCGGCGACGGGGATGACGGCGTAGGTTGGGGAGAGGAGGCGGCGGAGGGAGTAGATGCAGTGGCGGACCGATTCGACGGTCGTGCCGGTGCCTAGGGGTTGTATGTGAGTCAATGTGGGCTATAATGGCTGAGGGAGGGGGACTCGGTACCGGTGTAGACCAGCACATTGAGTTTACGTGAGGCCATGGTGAGAGTCTGTGAGTGAGGGCGATGAGGGATGAGATGAGTCTCGAGGTGGTGAGTGAGTGAGTTTCAGTAGCGAGCGTCGTTGTAGCTTCGGGGTTTGGTTCGGCACTGTCTTGGGACCCCCAACAAAGTTCCGGCGGTGCTACTTCGAATGAGAACTCACTTCGCACCTTGCAAAACAATTCAATCGCCGACACAAGACGACAACAACGTCTGCTCAACGACCTACAATTAACTCTGAGGAGGAAGACGGATAAAAAAGATGTCCAAGCAGGAGAGTGACACGGCGAAGAAGTCGTCGACGGAAGACGACGAGCCTGATGACTGGTACGTAAAATGGACCTTTCTTCTGCTCTTCTCAACTCGTCGAGTTTGTCTTGTCTCGTACGGCAAATTGATGTTGCTCACGATGTAGAAAGGCAGAGGTAGAAGAGGAAAACGAGCAGAGAGAGACAAGTAAACAAGAAGCAAAGGCTAACAACCATGCAGGGACAAGCGCATCTTCAGCACGGGTTGCGCAGGTACGCAACGACTCCTCTCTCTCTCCGGATCGCAGCGGAAAAGATCGCGAACAGACAGTTGGATCACGGCGCTAACTTTGACCTCCACCTTGGTTGTCTCTGTAGACGAGAATGCCAAGTTGACAGATTGCTATTTCGAGAAGAAGGACTGGCGGCAGTGTACGGCCGAGGTATGTCTGCTTCTTCCGAATGTTCTTCTTGTCTCGCGCTGCAATGAGGTACATGATGAACTAAAGCCGACAATGGTTGATACTATCTTAGATGGAGCATTTCAAGAGCTGTTGGAAGCAGCAGGGCAACGATCGCCGGACGGACGCAAAGGATGCGTGATTCAACTCCGAGAATGAGTCTTTGGTCCGCTATCTGAAGCTTGTACACCACTTGTATCAACAACTGTAGATTAAAAATCATCACGAAACGAATCGCAACTCATCTCATTCCCGTTGACCATCTCACTCACTCACTCACTCACTGCCTGTCCCAAAGCGGACTGACGCCAACAACGACGGGATGAAGCAAAAAAAAAAAGAAAAAGTCGCTCGCACAGTGTTCTAGCTCCAAAAACGTGGCCCAAGCTCCCGCCTCCCGGGCGCCGCATTCACCCGCGCCGACCAAATTTCATTAATCCTCCTTCATCCTACACGCCGCCACGGGAGTCTATGAGCATCATCGACACCGCGCAATCCACAACCACCTCACTCTCGCTCTCTCTCTCCAATTTTTCTCTCACGCGCGCGTGTGTCCCACAGCTCTTCAACCCTACACCCGGACACGCCATCTAATCCTTCCCAAGCAACTCACTCTCCAGGGCGAAAAGTCGCCCTCATTCACACAATGGCCTCCTTCACCATGCGCCCCCTCCTCCGCGCATCGCGAACAGCAACAGCAACAACCTTCACCCCCGTCGCGCGCATAGCCACAACCTCGCGCTACAAAGCCGCCTCCGCGACCGCAGCCGCCCCGTCCCCCGCAAAGAGCACAACAACCTCAAGCTACGCCAGAAAGACACCCTCCCCAGCCGCGAAAGCCTCGAAACCATCCTCTTCCTCCTCAGCAGCAGCAGCAGCAGCACCTAAACCCACACCCGCGCCCGCGACGACAACGTTCCCAACAGCACCAGCATACGTCCCTCCCACTCCTCAATCCCAAACCGCCCCAGAGCCGCAGCAGCAAACGCCACAAACACAGCAGCAACAGCAGCAGCCAATAGACTGGTCAACATCCTATCACGGCCTCGGCACAGCTCGCTTCCCGAAGGAAGTAGTCGACATCCTCCTCCAACCCGTCAACCCGTCCGACGTCGAGGTAAAACCCGACGGCATAATCTACCTCCCCGAGATCAAGTACCGCCGCATCCTCAACCAGGCCTTTGGTCCAGGCGGGTGGGGCCTCGTACCCAAGGGCGATGTTGTCGTCGGAGAGAAGGTCGTCACTAGAGAATACGCTCTCATCGCGGAAGGACGGTACGTGTTTTTCCATGTCCTTGGACTTTTGCCCCCCCCCCCCCCCCCGGACTTTCCTGAAATTGCATTAAGCAAAGCAAAGCTAACCCACAAATCCACACAGCTTCATCTCCCAAGCCCAGGGCGAAAACGGCTACTTCTCCGTCGAAAACCTCCCCTCCGCCGTCGAAGGCTGCAAATCAAACGCCCTGATGCGCTGCTGCAAAGACCTCGGCGTCGCCTCGGACCTCTGGGACCCCGTCTTCATCCGCCAGTTCCGCAAAGAGTACGCCGACGAGGTCTGGGCCGAGCACGTCACCACCAAGCGCAAGAAGCTCGTCTGGACGCGTAAAGACGTGCCGTTGGCGTACCCTTACAAGAAGACCAACTAAAAGTGTCTGGCGCCCAAGGACGATAAACCTTACAAAGAGGTCAGTTCCGCGCTGTTGGGGAACGTGACGGGCATCGTGCGAGCCCGCAAAGACCTTATGGATAAAAAATTTGTATAAATAAGACTAGATGGGTGGGATATGTGTAAGATGGGTCGCAAGAGTAGGGATCTCAACTGTAATATTAGACGTATATCATGGCCCTCCTCGGGATAGAGGTAAGGGCTGTAGATGCATAGACCTTTGCATAGCGGTCGATCAAAACATTAAGACACAATCACTACAGAGGCCACTCTCTCAGGAACGGTGGTCGGCTGTTGAAAGCGACTCCCAGGTCTATTCAGCCCCCCTTTGGTTGGGAATCGTGCGGGAGCGCAGGCTTTTGCTGGTCCCGGAATGACATCCACTCTCGGGTGTATCATAAATCGACCATGACTCCATATCCGTCGCCCAAGCCGAACATTTAAATCATGCAAAAGTCACCATACACCGCCGCGCAAAGAACTCCATTTCCCATTGACAAACGCCGTTGTCATATCCGAAGGGCGGCAATCACTTGTGCACGCCCGAGCTAGATCCACCTTCGGGATTCTCAGCCGTCGGTGTAGCGCCCCATCCCCACGGCATCCACGACGATCCCCCGCTCGTCTGCCTCCGCCTAACGGATCCGTCCTCGTCATCGCCACCGAGGTCCTCGGCCCCGCTCTCGGCATCAATCTTTTCGAAATCGGTCTCACTCCGCGATTTGCTGAGTCCGCTGTGCGCGCTCGGCGGTCTCTGCGTCACTTCCTCCTCCTCGCTGCCGTCGAGCTGCATGCTCCCCAGGGAGCGACTAAAAGTTTCGGGATGCGCCGACGTTGACGTCGCTGCCTCCTCACGCTCGAGAGCCTTGAGGAGGAAGGCGAGACGCTCACGCTGGGCGGCGATGAAGCTCGTCCTCTCGCCACCCTGGAGGTTCGGCGGGATAATGGAGCCGGACTTGGACAGGTCCTGGTGCTGTCCCCCACCGGTAGCGGCGGAGTAGGCGCCGGCGAGGAGGTTGTAAAAGTCAGCGCCTGTGTGGCCTGTCCCGGCAGCGGGAGCCCAGCGCGCGGCGGGGACGCTAAACCGGGCGAGGAGGGACTGCGTGTAGGACTGCGGTGGGTGACCGGCAGAAGCGGCTGCAGCGGAGGGCTGGGGCGCGGGTTCGGGGTCGCCTGGGGGCAGGCCTAGGACGTTTGTCTTGATGAGCTCGATTGCGCGTTTGAGGTAGGCGATGCCGGCGGCTTTCAATTTGTCGTGGGCCTCGGAGATGAACTCTTCGATTTGGGCCTCGTTGTCTTGCAGGAAAGGGTGGACGTGGGTTTGGTAGATGATGCGGGCGCCTTGGGTTTGGGGAAGGACGAGATAGAGGAGGAACAGGAGGCGGATATAGGCGTAGAAGGGGATCCTGTGGCTGGTGTTAGTGGTTGGTCGGAAGAGGGAGACTGGATGTTGGTTGCAGTCTGCGAGTCAGAACGTACCAGACGAGGATCCATTCGGTCCAAGACTCCACGAGGAGTACGCAGGCAAGGACGACCCAGTACATGAGCCATGGTGTCAGTTGTGCCGGGTCGGAGGTCTTGAGGGCCTTGTAAGAGGCGAAGAGGGGGAAGAGGAAGGAAGCGATGGATCTATGAGGTGGAATTCCATGTAAGTCGAGCGGTTCAAAGTGTCCCAGCAGGACTGAAGGTTGAGGCTTGTGGAGTTCAAGCCGCGCCGAGGGTATCGCAAGTGTCATGGAGGTATTCTGGCACCCATTGCGCATGCCTGGAGGAGAGAGGAACTCACGATAAGAGGTGGGCGAATATGTCAAACATGGTTGCGATATGAGGGCTCGATAAGGTCGTCAAGGTGGAGAGGAGGTAGAGGTGTAAGAGGGAAGAAGAAGGTTTGCTCGGAACTAAAGAAGAGATGGAAGAGCGTTGTCGGCACAGGTAGCTTTGCACGGCTCGGTCAGCGCGCGCAGCTGTCGCAGGGAGCACAAGCCGACGTCAGGCGGGGGGGCTGACGGTATGGGATGAGCAGCGAGGGGTAGCGTTTGAGGTTGCAAGGTCCGTCTAGCTTGATAGGTAATGTGTGAGTATCGGTAGGATCTCGACAATGAGTGTCAGCCAGCCGCGGGACGAGACACGGAGTGACAGACAGAATGGAAGAAAGAAAGAAAAGGGTTCAACCAAAAGCTGTGGAGGAGCAAGCAGATGGAAGATGCAGGATTGCGGATGCGGACGGGTGTGTAAGGCAAGGTACACGGCAGCTTACACAGCAGACAGCACGCCGAAGCAGCAACCGGCGCTCGGTGCTCGCTGGGGGGGGCAAGGTAAGGTGGGGTCCCTGAGCACGAGGACAAAACAGGCGGGTGCAGCGGACATCACGGGCACTTGCCGTTGGATCGAAGGGTCAAACGGCAAAGTACTTGCAGCATAGTATTAGGTGGGAAAGGTACCTTACATACCTACCCAAAGTAACTTGACTAAGGTAGAATACCTAAGGTAAGTCAAGGCAGGGGGCGGCCGGTGAGATCTTGGCTTTGGTGCTTTCAGCGAGATGCAATGCGATGAGGTACCTCGGTGGACGTCATCGAGGGGCTGGATAAGGTGCGATAAGGTTGTCGTCGGTGTCAGCTCGGGCAGGCGATAAGCCGATAACGGTAAGCGGTCAACGGATGAGGTAAGCTGCGGAGAGGAAGGGAGCTGAAACCGGACAATTGGAAGGGAAGAAGACAGGGAACCTGCTGATTCGTGACACCGCTCTCATCTCATCGTCCCGAGGCAGCCAACTTAAAGAGGTCTTTCGAACTGTTCAACAAGGCTCACCGAGGTTAGAGACGGCCCTCTAAATACTCACGAGACCTTCTGGTCACCGTGTTTTCAACGCCCCTGTTTGGCATAGATGGACATGTGTTCATTCGCAGCAAAGTCTGGTTCCTGGCCTGACTCACAGAGCAAACATGTTCCCTCCATCTAACGCTTCTAGATACAACGAGTCCTTGACTACCGTCTACAGTCTACACCCAAATACATACAACATCCACGACTAATACAGGCACCGTGTTTTGCATCCAGGCATCCCCCGTATCTGAGCGCCATGTGACGTCTGCTAGCGCCCTTCGGTCCCGCCCGACGATCGGGGCCTTGTTCCACCTTACCGCTTCTCTCCGCATCTTGCCGCTTTGGGACACAACCCACTCATGGGTGTTCCATCTTCACCTTTCACCGAGACTTGTCTGTTGGATCAGCATCGCGAGATCAAATGCCAGATACCCGGGTCCTGGTGTAGGATGCGGACACGTTGTCGATGGGAGATGCCACATCTCACCTCATGTCAGCGTGGCATTCGTGGCCCACGTACGCAATGCTCTTACCCAGGCCGTCGGTGCCTGATGTAGCCAGTCATCACGGCCGCGTGTAATTCCTAGGCACCGGCTTTCTGAGATGAGAACAGGTTGGCCATATCTATCGAGGACACGGTTAACGAGAAGAGTCGCTAGTTGCCACGTCTCTCAAGCTAATCGTACTGAGATCCATCAGATCAAGCAACCCATCACTCTCATTTCTACTCTTCGTGCCAGGAATTCCATCGAAGACTTGAGTCGAATTGCACAACTCCACGAGGCTCTATAGTAGTCTAACAACTCATCATCTACAAAGTCTGGTTCAAACCAGACTTTCCCATCTCAACTCACTCTCAATTATACGCCACCACATTATCAATGGCACTCTTATTCAACCCAGGCCAATGCTTCTTCCCCCACGTAAACCACAAACTCACCGCCCCAACCACAACAACAACATAAATCGGCCCCGCATAGTTCATCTCCGTCCCCGTCACCGGAATCGTCTGCGGGAACGGCAACCACACGCTCAGATACATCGACCACAGCAGCGCATACACATTAATAGGCGTTCCCCAACCCCTCGGCAACGACCACCCGCCGTACTGCACCTGATACCCGGCCCCGTGTCCGATCCGCCCCGTCAGCCTGGCGTGGAGCATACAGGAAATGGCGATGATGTACGAGCCATACAGCCCCAGCGACGAGAGCGCGGTAAACGCCGAAAACACCGTCGCCGTCGCGTTGTTGCCGACGGTGAAGAGCGACAGGCAGGTGACGATGACGCACGGCAGCCAGACGGAGCGGATGGGCACGCGGTGCGTCGGGTGGATCTTGGCAAAGTACCGCGGCAGGCCGCCGTCGCGGGCCCAGGCCCATGTTATGCGCGACACGGATGCCAGCGAGGCGGCGACGACGCAAAAAGTGATGACGAGGAGGCCGACGACCATGGCTGTGCCGGCAGCGGGACCCGCGGCGTTGAAGAGTAAGGGGATGATGGGGTAGTCGGAGCTCAGAATCGCCTCCGTCGTGGCCGGGTCGCCGCCCATGCCAAACAGGATGGCGAGGATAATCCCATACGAGAGCACGCCGTTCAGTATAATCGTCCACAGCATCGCGCGCGGTACAGCCTGCTTCGCCTTCTTCGTCTCCTCCGCCATGTGCACAACACCATCAAACCCAATGAACCCCCACGCGGGGACCAACATGCCGATATTCCAGCTCACAAAGCCATTCGTCCATCCGGAGGAAACAGTGCGCTCGAAGAACACAAATTCAGCCGAGGCGCGGGGCGCGAGCGTCAACAGCACGACGACGAAGACGAGCCAGAGGACGACGTGCAGGACGCCCGCCAGGAGCTCCATCCAGGGGATGGTGCGGAAGGCGTACATGTTGATGAGGGCGCAGGCGACGAGCTGGGCAATGATGACCATGGTAATGTGCCAGGGCTGGAAGGTGTACGAGGGGTAGTTTGTGCTGACGAGGCCGATCATGATGTTTGCTTCCGAGGCGGCGGAGCCCGCGAGGGCGGAAACCCAGGCGAACCAGGTTACCCAGCCCTGCATCCACTGCGAGGGTAGCCGATGTCAGTCCGGATCCCGGGAGACGTGTGGTGTGAGAGAGAGAGACATACCGTGATGAACCGCCGGTGCTTCTCTGGCGCAAGGAAATGCGTCCAGTGGTACTGCGCCCCCGCAATGGGCTGGATGGTCGCGAGCTCAGCCATGGAGAGCGCCTGCGCCATGGCGCCGACGACGACGAGAACAATACCCCACGCCAGCGTCTGCGGTCCGCCGTTGTAGAACGTCGCTCCCATGTCCATCGCCATGACCTCCCACGAGGACATGAAGATCAGGGCAAAGGCCAAGAGCTGCCAAAAGGAGAAGAGACGCTACCAGCAAGTACCCGTGTCAGTTGCCGTCCGTGATATCGGTGAGGAAGACTGCGCTTGTGACTTACCCTGAGCGTCGAGTCGCCCGTGCCGCCATCGGTCGTGTATGGGTAGGCGCCGCTCTCGTGGTGGTGGTTGTTCTTGGCGCCGTCGTCTGTGTTGCCCGGAGAGCTCGTCGTGTTGACGGCGTCGTAGCCGCCCTTTTGCTGCTGCATCTCGACAAGGTCCGCTTTTGCCATGATTGCGGCCTTCTCTGGAAACTAGTCCCCCTTCAATGCTACAAAAAGTCGGGAAACCTCAAGTAAGGAAGCCGCCGTGACCAAGTCAACTAATAATCAAAGGAAAAAGAACAGCAGCGCCAGAAGCTTTTAAACAACCCCAAAGAAAAAAAAAAGAAAAGAAAAAAAGGGAAAAGACGGGCGCGATCTGTGGAAATACCATCATGCAGGTAAGTATACACGCCAAGACAACTAGGCGATCTGGACCGGCAGACTTAGACTAGACATGCAGTCCCCCCTCTCGCACCAGTCCGACTCGAGATGCTCGGTACGTGGTGCGATGCGACCCTGAGACCACCTGGTTCCAGGGTATCGAAGATATCAACGCCATCCCATTGGTGTGCTTGTATGGTTTCACTGAAGGAAGCTCTCATTGCTCCCATGGTTCCAAGCTCCCCCCACCCGGGGCCTCGCAACGGAATCCGATCAACGCTAGCAAGGGGGGGGTTTTGGTGATTGCCTAATCTTTATTTTTTTTCGCCACGATTATGAGCCGTGGTGGGGTTTCTTGTGAATCTGCAGTAATGTCTCGGGCGAATCTTGTGGGAAAGAAGGGAAAATGGCCCCAATGCAAGTTTGTTGCATGGGGGGTTGAGGTCACATCGCGATAGTGAACGATGAGCTCGGCTTATGTTCGACGAGTAATTTGTGGATACACTGCTAGTGGCAACGGCTGGACTAGACTTAAGCTACCAAAGATTGAACTTTTGCGGTTTGTCTACTTTCTTTGTGGAATCTATTGTATGTGTATAGCTGGTCGTGACTAGCAATAGGTGTCGTCAGCATTTGTGATGAAGCGGAAATCGATTGCGTTCCTTTGACCTCTCTCTTCAAGTCTTCTCGACTCAAGAAGAGTATTCGTCTGAGATCGTGGCCGAAGCCGTGACGGGTTGGCTCGACGACGAGGGTAAAGGGGGCAACTAACACGAACCCACCCGCTACACCACCTCCATCGCAATGTTTCTCATAGAAGACTCGGAATACGAGTCCCTCAATTGTAGCTTGTAGGCACTCAGGTAGCCCAGTAAACGAGCATCTCGGCCCGTACCGACTACCAAAAGCGCCGGTAGGCTTCCTCCGATGGATGCTTGAGCTTGGGCAGTGACTTCCAAAGGGCGGAGGAACAAGGCAAAGAAGAAAGTGAATGCACTTTTGAGGAAGACGCTCATTATGAGAGTCGTTTGGTAGTGGATGGCTGGCTGTGAGGCTTGGAGACGAGGGATGGGTGCTAGGGAAGCGAGGTTAACTGGGCCTGAGGCTTTTGGGTCGGCCACCTGGCAATGATATAAGCGTGCATCGACAGACTGTTCTTGTTCAATGACCCAGTCATACTGAACATTCGATTTGTGTGAACACAGCGCGCACCATAGTCTCGGTGGATCCGAGCGGCTAATGGGAGCACTCGAAGTTGGAATAAGCTTAATTCACGACGCAAACCCTAGTGGCTTGTGAAGAAGACGGGACTTCTGTTGCTAGTTTGCTAGTCCCGTCTTCCCACCCTCACCAACTCACTTCCCAGCACCCTTGATAAGATCAGCCGCGTACTCCGCAACAGCATACACGGTGGCCTGCGTATGCGCCGCAGGCAACATCGGCATAACACTCGCATCCACAACCCACAACCCCTCGACGCCATACACCCTCAACCCACTATCCACAACGCCCCCCAGATCCCGCGGCATCATCGCCGCCGTGCCGACCGGGTGATCGAGGCTCGAAGACAGCCACGACTCCCGCATGAGGGTCTCAATCTCAGCGTCGCTGGTGACGCCCGGGCCCGGGAGGATCTCCACCGCGGCGAGCGTCTCGACGCTGGGACTCGCCATGAAGGCGCGGGCTTTGGCGACGGCGCGGAGGAGGAGGAGGGTGTCGATTGGGTTCGAGAGGGTGTTGAAGTCGACTTGTGCGCCGCCAGCGCCTGGGGTGGAGGATCCGGGGTCCGGGTCCGTGCTGTTGATGGTGATTGTGCCGCGCGAGAGGGGTTTCTGGAGGGCTACGGGAACGGTTTCCGCGCCGCCCCAGGTAAATTCCATGACGCCTGCCTTTGGATTGCGGAATCTCTGGCTCAGGATCTCACGCTGGCGGTTGAAGCCCTCGAGGAGTGCCGGGTTCTCGGCGTAGACTTCAGGAAGATATTGCAGCGGGTCTTGGGTTGTGACGGCGTCTGCGATGGCTTGGTAGTTGTCTGGATCGAGGTCTTGGAGGGATGTGAAGACGACGCGGTTTCCCCAGGCGTGTGTGTGTGGCCCGGTTCTGTTGGCTTCGTACTCTGCCCAGGACTCGTTGTAGAAGGTTTCGTTGTTCATGAGGGTGGGGTTGATAGATGTGTCGTTTGCAACTTTGTAAAGAGACATTAGCTTTCTGACAGGAGTTCTAAAGTGGCTGTTCAACTTACAATCGTAGACCATGAAGATGGAAGGATGGTCCTGGAAGTTCGCACCAACACCTGGTAAATCAACCACAACCTCAATATCCAATGACTTCAACAGCTTCTGAGGCCCAATGCCACTCAATTGGAGTAGTTGAGGGGTGTGGACTGCGCCCGCGGCGAGCACCACGTTCCGAGACTCCACGAACTTGGTCTCGGAGCCATCACGGCTGCCAATCACTACGCCGGTCGTTGTGTTCCCCTCAAACTTTATCGCTGCACCGTAGTGACGTATAAGCAGATGTAGATTCTCGCGGGCGCTGACTGGATTGAAGTAGGCAGTCTCAGCGGTTGATCGAGTCGCGTTCGGACCGCCAGAGTTCTGCGGGAGCCATGCAATGCCGACGTTGTCACCGTCGGCACCGTCTTTCAACGTGTGCACTTTGATGTCCTGAGCCCATGCTTGTGCCATGAGAGCTTTTTGGTGACATTAGCAAATTAATCAGCGAGAACATGACTCCGTCAAGAGGGCACCTCACCAGACTCTGGCCACTGCCACGAAGGAAACCCGACCTGAATGGGACCATCGCCATACGCATTCTCGCTCCATTCGTACCCGTACTCCTCAACATACTCACCCACAGGCGGCGCGAACGTAGACGACTTTTGGAAATATTTGAAAAGGGTCGCCCAGCCCCAACCGGGGTTCCCAAGGGCCTCCCACGCATCATAGTCGGCTTCAGAGCCACGGTCCCAAGCCATTCCGTTGACGGTGGAGCCTCCGCCAACCACAGCACCGATACGAAGGCGGGATGTACGATTACCAAGATGGGTTTGAGGGACCGACGTCACGTTGTAGAGGCGCGCCGACTGGTCGTATGTTGCAAAGTAGGGCACGGTGACGTTGATTGTGTTGGCAAAGTCTCCGTATTCGACGACTAATACCGTTTCTAAGGGTACACACATAGAATCAGCATCAAACATGTTGGATTTGAGACTATTGATGACGCTGAGACTCACTTTCGGGATCTTCGCTCAGTCTGTTGGCCACGACCAGGCCGCTTGCTCCGCCCCCAATCACGATAAAGTCATACTGCTCAGCGATTGAGTCGAAAGTTCTTTTGGCCTGCTCAGTATGTTGTCCTAGCACTGAAGCTGTCGCAAACAGGAGTCCAATCACTAGTTTAGACGCCATGCTCAGTCCGGTGGTTGAGGAAATCGGAGGCGAACTTCGTGCATGGAAGAATAGCGACGACCGGCCTCAGAACAACTCCCCATGTCTGATGGAAAGCGCTTACTTTAAGTACGTTGAAGCCAATTCTTTGGTGCAATCCAACAATGACTGAATGAAAATCTGCTCACCTTGCTTATTTAAGAACCCCGCACCGGTGATGTGCCAATGCAACATCCCAACTGTATTCTGCAGTGCGACATACGAATCGGTGGGCAGGGTCTCGGAATAGGCTACTAGATGCAGTGTGCTGAGTTCTGTCACAACGGAGTAATGATACGTCGACGGAGGTCGTACATATTGTGGTATGATCTCACTTTACATTACGGGTAAGATTTACATCGGTGAGCGAAAGAGCCCCATCTTACTCAAAGCGACCGGTGAACTTTCCACACTTCTAGAAAGCACAACCCGTATGTCATTAGTCTTGGGATAACTACTCCATTCATTGCGTTAGTTCATCTGATCCAACCCGTCTCGCATCTGTCATTTGCTCTGGAGTGGGTTGCTGCCGGCCCTTTCGAGGCAATGGCTTCCTCATATCCTCCACTTCGCGATGCATCCAGATTGCCCGAGCTTCCATACTCGCTCTCAACGCTCCATCCTACCGGCTCCCTTGGAGTCGTTTCGCCGCTCCCGCCTGCAGAAAAGCTGTATGCCTTGCCGGTATATCCCGGTGGTCGAGGCCAAACCTTTGGTATGGCCGAGAGCACGCTACTCATGCTTCTTTTCTTGGGGACGGGCTGAATGACAATTCGCACCTGCTCTTCTTCGGAACTTTTGCCACTGCTGCCTTCGGTTCGCGGCATATGACAAGGTCGATCGTAGGCTAGAGCGTTAGATGTCGGCCGATTCATCATAGCGGTAGCAGCTATGGCAGATGTCATGTAACGGTCGTCTTCGTTCAACTGAAGATGTCGCCTGCGTTTGGACCTTTGTCGACGTATGCAGAGGAATAGCAGGATCAGAGCTGTGAGAGCAAAGGTTGCGCCTACAGCGACGCCTGCGATTACTCCAGGACTCAACGATGGCCTGGCAGTGCGCTCAGTTGGAGGAAGAAGAGTTTCCGTAAAGGGTGGAACAGCCGTCGTCGAAGTTGATCTGATAGAGGGACTACTGCTCGCTGCGGGCCCAACCCTTGCTGAGTTACCGTCATTGGTCACAGGCGATGGACTTGGAAGTACTGAGGATGATGTAAAGGTACTGCGAGGATTATCGGATTCTGAGCGGATGCGACTGCTCTCGGGTGCGCCTATGGTGTTGGAGACGACCGAAAGCTCTGTGGGTTCAAGGGCTTTTGGCGTCGTTGCCGTGACAGAAGAAGATTTGAGGCCTACAAACGATGGAGTCTGCTGAGCGCCATCGCTGGAAATGACCTTGTGGCTAGCCGGTGGAGATGGTGCGATCGCAGGTGAGTTGGAACCTCCATCCTTAATGGGAAGGGTCGTGGTTGTAAAGATCGTCGACGTGAGAGTAGGCGTCTTCGTCACAGAAACGAATATAGGTTCGAAGATGGTGACAGTGCGGACGATGGTGCCGCTCGCCACTATTGTGGTCGTGATCTCGATGGTGACTACGGAAACCCTATTGATTGAAGCTGGTGTCTGCCTCCGAACAGGAGCCGGGTGCGATGAGAAGCCAGCACCTTCAAGGTAGTGCGTGTCGGTCGAGGATATTTCGGAAATCGCCGTTTGATCCGATGCGATGGCGTCTGCCGCGTCTCTCACTGCAATATTTCGAGGTTGCGACGCGGTAACGATATTCGTCTCGAAGACTAGGGTGGGATTGATGAAAGTCAAGGTCTGCTGAAGAGGCGCCCAGATCACTTCGGTTCGGCTAGCAAGCTCGACAGTCACCGTTCGGACAACAGTGACGGTGGTGACTTGAATTGTCGCTTCAACGGGTGGTCTAGACCATATGGTTAGCGTCAATCTAGGCGCAGTGAACTTTGTACTTACGTGAGGTTCTGTCTCGCCCACATCTGGTGAAGGGCTATATCATCCTGCTTCTGGCTGGCCTGCTCTTCTAGCAGGATTTTCCCGGCCGGAGCGCTCTCAGGCTCCTGGGGAGCTCGAGTTGTTGCCAGAGTCTGCCAGTATCCGTCGTCCGAGAATGAGGTCAACGATGGCTCGACGGCAGAGTGACAGAACGTGGCGAGATCTGCGTCGACGATGGTTGATATCAAAAGAAAGATCATAAAGCCGCGAAGCTTCGCCATGGTTGCTAGATGGATCGCATATCCTCTAGTGCCCTCAACAAACTGAGTGAAGGAAAGACGTTTGAGAAAAGGAGGGAAAGAAGGGGAAATGAGAGAAAGAGTAGATGGTATTGAAGGGCAAAAGGCCAACGAAAGTAGAAAGTGAGCAGCCTTGAAGAATTGAGAGAAATACACAAAGCAGACGTGAAAGTGGGAAGGAAGTAAGGTCCCTGGACAAAGGCAAGTGAATGCGGCAAGATGCCGGATAGGCCTTCCTTCCTAATGCCACTGGCCGTTGAAAGAGAGGAAAGAGAACCTTGGAAGTAGTTACGTGAGGAGAAAGCTGGACCGGAGGCTCACTGCGAGTACCCTCGTGTAACTTCATGCACTACGGGGAAACATTACGATTGGCCTCTTCTGCCGTCCTTGGTGATGTCGTGAGACAATAAGTAACATGGGGGACTGAGGACTCGGGCCTTCTATCTTTAACCTGGTCGCTGGGTTTCGATGGAAGAGGGCTTTTTGTCTGACCTTGACAGAACACTCTAGGATATTGCGATACTTTCAGAGCAAACCATACACTCATCTCTAAGTGAGAGCCCCAAGGACTAGAGGCGTTGCCGGAATATTCTGTGGCATGAGTTGAGGTTTGAAGCTATGCTTGACGCCAAGCAAAGCAATGAGTAAGGTAGGAAGGCAATTCATCTTGGGTGAGAGACCAGTTGTAACACTTCTGATGCGTTTGGTTCGTCCATCCCGAGGATAAAAGCAATCATGAGATAGATGGGAGATTCCCATACCACGCTCCAAGATCGGAATAAGGTGAATTTGAGATCCAATGTCCTTCACATCCGAGAGTCAACATCGCCGGGGGTGTTGCCTCGCCTATCAGGGATGGGAAAGAATCTGGTAAGCTTTGAACTGTGGGATAATCAGCCTTGTCTGGCTTTGCAGCAACATGTTAGTCACAGCGGCCTCAGAGTAGAGACATTGCAAGAAGAAAGCGGTTCAATTTGGTGTGACCAAGGGATTCAGAGTGTCCACAGAGCTTTGACCCTTGATGAAACAGATACCTGGCTTAGTAAGCACGATATTCACTCCTAATGTTCAGCTCCTTGCCCCGCCATGTCAAATCGGCACCAATAAACCAAGAGCACAGGACGGCGACGAACAAGGCGCAAATGCAATGTCATGGACAATCGATTGAATGAGAGGCTGTCTAGACCTAGTTATCTGCTAGTCTACTAGGCGCGTTCATCTCCTCCTGATACAATGCCGATAACCCCCATATCAGTCCCACGCCCTATGTACTTTCGGAAAGACGACGTTCCTTGCAGGATACAAAGCAGGTGATGGCCGAGGACAGTCTTCCTTGTCTTCTGCAAACATTTGCACTGCCCAAGCGTGAAGAGATTTTCTCTCTGACTCCTAATGTCATCAGAAGAACGTAGCTTCCCCCGGTGACCACGGCACGACAAAGACTGTCCAAGAATCGACAGCTCAAGCATCATACTGGGCAAAGGCATCCACAATCCTCTGTGGCCAGCTGTGTCTCGGAATCGTCTGAAAGTGGTTATAGAGCAGCTTGCGCACAAGACCATTGCCCATCTCTCGGTACTCCGAGTCCGAAGGCGACTCATGGTCCTGGGCGCCAGGCATTCTGACCCATCCTTCCTTCCGATTTGAGGTCATGGTAATCTTCTCCATGGCATAGAAATGCTGCTGGTGGGCTGTCGTCGTGTAGTTGCAGTCCAGCGCACGAGCAGCGAAGCGCATGCTCACCATGGCCGCCAACACATGCTCGTTAGCATTGGAGAATTGATCCGGAATTAGGTGCTTGGTGCGCTCGACAAAGAGCCTGTACCACGCGTAGTCCGAGTTGAACTGGCAGCCGAGCAGCGCATCCTTAAGACCTCGCTCCATGGAGAAGGGGGCGAAAGTGGCCTTTTGCCAGGAGACGATGCCAGCCAGCTGGAGTTCCTTCTCAGGTTTGCCATCGGCGGGATCGCTGGCGGGCTGCTCAACGAGCTTGACGAGGATGTTGCGGGGCTCGAGGTCCATGTGGCAGAGGACGAGGGCTCTGCCGAGCTCCTGGATGTGTCTGCATGTGAGAAACTGGACGTCCATTGGATGATCCGCGCTGGGGAACCTGATGTTGAAGCTGCCGTCTTTGCGCTCTGTAAAGGTGGTGGCTGGGGAGTGGTGGCGGGCGGGACGGAATTCGCTGGCGTAGCGCTGGAGAAGGAGGCGGACGCGCTTCTGCGAGGTGAACTGCGGAGGCCAGGCGGGGATTTGGTCCAGGGGAATCGGCTCGGGGGTCTTGGGACCGTTGAGGACGAGGGGGGCGGTGTAGTCGATGTTGCCGGACAGATCGACGGCCCTGAGCGCCTCTTCAATATCCTTCTCAGAGAAGCCATGTTCCTTCTGGAGGGTTTCAAGCGCAGTGACGAGCTGGCCCATGATGCGGTCCTGCGACTGAGGAGTGAGGGAGGACCAGACTTTGTCGAGGGTCACTGTGTTGGGGATGTGCTCTGTCACGATGTAATCGACATCGCCATCATCCGTCTCATAGACACCAACGCGGATGACGCGGGGGACCAGATCGGGGAGCCAAGAGCGAGCGATCTCTTGGCAACGCCCTGCCGTGTCAAAAGTGGAGACGTTTCCGACGGGGTTGGTGATGTTGACAAAGACGCCAGCGTTTATAGGGCTGGGGCCGAACTTGACGTCGAGGATGAGCTGCTTGGGGATGCCGGTCTTGGGAGGCTCGTCAAAGGTGAGCTTGTAGGCGCGGCGGGCGATGAAGGGCTCGTGAGGGTGAATGAGGTCGATGCTGGAGGGTTTGGCTCCCCACAAGACTTTGGGAACCATCTTGTCGACGAATTGACGGTATCCCACCTCGAGCTGTCTGATGTTGACGCCTCCTCTGTCGGCGAGAATGGAGAGCAGTTTGGGGTCAGTCGGGACGACCATCTTGGAGCTTTGGGGATGAGAGATGGTGGGAGCTGATGTTGGGATGGATGCCTTTTCTTGCTGTATCTGATGGTTTGAAGATGAGAAAATGAAGGCTTGATCAGGTTGTGGGCGAGAGTGAGGAACTCACGATTTGAAATCTCAAACACCCTGCAGTTGGAAGGTACCTGGAAGTAGGGCTGCTGAAGTCCACCTTGTGACTGGCAAGCTTGAGGATAAAAAAGTCAGGCCAAGACAGAAAAGATTGCGAGCCGCTTGATTATTTTGGAAGGAGGGGAAGTAAGTCCAAGGCTGAGGCGAGGCGGTCGAATTGAAAAGAATGGCAGCAAACGGACGCCAGGATAAACAGAGGCGTATTCGGGTCCCAAGATGAAGGGAAGATGATGGGTATGGGCATCAGGAGTGTTCGTCGAGTGCTCGATCAGGCACCAGGCAGAGCAAACGGAGCAAAGGTCCGCACATGAAGGAAGTTGGCGTGTATGCAGGAACCTGGGGCAACGGTCTATTGCATCTTTTGGACGATTCACTCGAATTTCACCCCGAGCCATTTACCTTCACTTAGTCCAGGTAGGAATTGCTCCCAGTGAAGCCTGGCTATCGACGCCGACTGGTGTTCTCATGATAGCAAGACTAGTACTCAAGCCTGCTCATGAAAGCTTAGTGGTTATGGATAGCAATTATCGAGCAATGGCATCATATATCAGCATGACAAAGCATAGCACACCGGCCGCTCTCTCACAGAAGTAAGACAGGCAGTTGCTCTGATGGGAAAACATGCAAGCGGCACAGCTCATGATTATGATCAAGCATCAGCGGAGCCCCCACCCAGAGAACGGGATCGAGACATGTTACGGAGACAGCCAAGGTTAATATTCTATTTCTTGCGAGGTGACGTTTGCCGTTGGCCAGAAGCCAAGACAACGTTCAACGACATGACTTGATATACTAGCTTGAACACGGGTAGGCGCCTGCAAGCGGTGTATGTGTTCTTGGAGCCATGGGGAACTTGGCATCCTTCAAACTAGAGGAATTGCTGCGTATGCCTCCCCACAGCCGGCCAAAAGGTTCAGTAGAATGACGCATGGCTTGCTAGCATATGTGATTGTTAATTGAAGCAATGTACGAGAGTAAAGTAAAAAGCAACCAACGGGTGCAGAAGCAGTGTAAGGTAGCTTAGCAGCGGGCGTTGCCGGATAGAACCTCAGACATCCATATCCGCATTGAGGAGAAAGCTAATCGTACTGTACACAGGGTGTAAACCCAGGATGCCACACCACGCGAGCCAACCGTGCCACCGTCGTCAAATGCTGACCAAAAAAGATGTGGGCGCAAATGACAGTTACCCGTCCCGCTGTCATGCAATTGCACCGTTCACACATGGGCTGACATAGCAGGATCTGGCCATGGAAATGGCCCGATGCAACCTGGGCACATTGTTGGAAATGAAGCTGCTGCCATTGGTCAGAAAGATCTCTAGCCAATGGAAGGGTAGCTGATGACCTAGTGCAGGGATCACCCACCATGATGGGCAGGAACCGTGACGTCGGGACTCGGCCCCTCCGTCCCTGCATCGCAGATGCTTAAAAGGACCCTTCTGCGACTGCCTTTTTGGATGCTGTTCCATTCGATACAGTTCAATTCAGACCAATTCAACCCAAGACAACTCTCACATCGCTCCCGACTTCTTCTACATTCAGAATCAGTTCCTACTTGCTATCCTACCCTCTACCAACCTCACCTTCCCACTTAACAATCACAATGACTGTCACCAAGGCTTCCACCTGCTGCGGCAAGAGCGCCGAGTGCGTCTGTGGTATGTACTTCTCATCCCCTGATCCCTCGATCTCTCAACTTCAACATCATCTCGACATATCTCTCGTCCTTGAACACAATATCATTCTCAGACCATCCATAACCGACAATGACACTACCAAAACTTTACAAGCTAACCCGTCTTGCTCCTCAGCCCAGCAAGCTACCTGCTCCTGCGGCAAGCAGTCTGCCCTCCACTGCACCTGCAGCAAGGCCGCCTCCGAGAATGCCGTCGC